TCTTAACTATTGATATTTTTAAAGATATAAGCTCATCCCGATGTTACACTCATCGAGACCTTTCATTTGAGTACCCACATCAATTTTTCATATATATATTATATATGTATATATGAAAAATATATATTAAAATGCATGTGGGTACTCAAATGGAAGCTCTTGATTAGTGTAATATCGGGATGAGCTTATATCTTTAAAAACGTCAATAGTTAAAAAAGTACAGTGCAATTTAACAAAAGTCATTATTTAACAAAGCAAAATTTTTAAGCCAGGTTTCTAGTTGTAATTTAATTAATGATTAAAGAAAATTAAATTCAGCTCATGAATCTTGGTTGAAAACTATCAGCTGGAATTTAATTTATTTTGCTAGGATTGAATTAATTAAAAATGATCATTTGTAATTTTGATTAAAAGTATAATTAAATTTGTACTTATTTAGATGAAGAAGAATTTAAATTAACTCGCAAGTACAGCAATCAATTAGACACACCTGAAAGAAGAGGAACGTTTGCTCAAAGATTAAAAGAAGCTCTTAATCGAGAAAGCACTGCGACTGGATCCTCTGAAGAATCTTCTGGTGAAAGTAGCTACGCTGTTGGAATTAGTATATCTGGAAGTCATGTTGGTGATCAAGATATTAAGTAAGTGTTTAATTCTTATAATTATTTACATTTAAATTTTTTAATTGCACGCCTCATAGCGCGAAGCGCGTGAGGTTGTGCTTTATACTCGACTCGTTAACATCAAGCAATTTTGTGATCTTTAAATGCCTCTATCACAACCATATTACACTTATACAATGATATAAGTAGATGTACATCGAAAAAACACTTAAATTAAATCATCTGTTACTTTCTAAAATCATTTCATGTTGCTATTTTGAAAAAAAAAAAACGTTTTGAAAAAAATTTTACGTGGACGTCCGGATGTCACCCCATTTTGGATGTACCAACGATTACTCCCGAACAAATTGATATTTCAAGACCGGATCTTTTTTATTAGTTTAAGAATTCGATGAACTGGGTCCGTATTGCATATCAGTGGCCTAGCTTACGTATTTTTTTTTTTAAATTGAATTTTTATTAAAATTTACTACGATACAACCGTACAAAGCTAAACGAACTTTTCTTATTTGTCACGTGAAAACTATGGCTTTTTCCAATTACCTTCGAATTTTTATGAACAAAAATTGGGAAACCTTACATCTAAACAATTACTTTTTTTTTTTAATTTCAAATTATAATTATAATCATGAAAAAATATTTTTAAAAAATTTGTATAAAACTATTTCGATATTTGTAAATAAAAAAAAAAAATAGTTGTAAAAATAACTATAATTATATTCCAGATAGCAACTCATCCAGAAATGCTTGCTGTGATATTGTCCGTGGAGGCCTTAGAAGACAACGAAGTGTTGATAGTCGATGGTGCGCGACATGTATCCCGAATAAATAATCCCAAGCAAAAGGCAACATTTGAGAGCATACCTAATCCAAATCCCGTTACCGTTTGCTGTATGGACGCCGATAATTATTCACTTAAGCCACTTGAACAGTTTGAAGAAGACAATATACTTCGTGAGATGAATAAATCACTGCTGGGATTTCGTCAAAGACATTTGCCGGCAAGTCCCACGGAAACGGTCAGCCTGGACGGTGCTGCTTGCCCCGACGGGTGTCCAATCACCCGGAGGCTGTCTCCCATAGGCGAGAGTTTCAGCAGCGCTTCCCCAGAAGTCGAAACCTCTGAAGACAAAGTTGTTATTCATAACAATAATAATAATAACAATAACAATAATATTCGGGCTAATGGAAACTTGTCTGAAGACATAAGCATAGAAAATCCACTTACAGACGTTCGCCTGAGGCCTAATGGACGCTCGACAACTCAGAGGTCGCTCAGTCCAGATAAACTCGTCACGAGCTACAATAAAAGTTTGTGTAGCAACGCCAGCACTCGGAGCAGATTTATTGTCTTGGGGTCCAGTGGCGAGGTGTTGCCTGTCACAAGAAAATCCTTGGGACAAATGTCTGTCTACGAAAGCTGCAATAGTCAGAGCACTGAGAGCTTCCACAGTGCCAGGGATTCTATCGAAGACGAGCATCCTGCTGGAAAGTACGGTAAGACCAATTATAATCTATATTATTAAGAAAATAGAATGGAGTTGTGTCATTTCATGGTTTCATATCATTCTCACTAATAGTCAATTTATGATGATAAGTATTTCGGCTGCATTCGAAAATGCTCTATCTCTAGATACATAATTGAGAAATGACCTTGTATCTCGTGAACTATTGACATTTTTTAAGATATAAGCTCATCCCGATGTTACACTCATCAAGACCTTTCATTTGAGTACCCACATCAATTTTTCATATATTTTATATATTTATCTATATTACATATATGTATATGTGATAAATATATCAAAAATGCATGTGGGTACTCAAATGAAAGCTCTTGACGAGTAGTAGATACAGTTCTGAACTATTTTGATATTTCCATTCCCTAAATTTCGTTGGTGACCGCAAGCTGTGACTTACCATAAGGTACAAAAAGATAAAATAAAAAAAAATAGTTCCACCTTAACGGAATATTGAGATAAACTTTGGTAATGCTCTCTAATGCACAAAGTTTTGTGCCAACTTTTTCGTTTGCCCTCGTTTTTTATGTTATTTCTTTTTTTTTTTGTATACTTGCTCTACCTGCTGACTATTCTACTATTTTAAAGGCTTTTGTCGATGGAATTTAAGTCCGAAATCTTATTCTCGTTCGTATATATAAATATAAAAGTTATATAAAAAAAAATCTTTATTCACTTTTAAGGTGATAAGAAAGTGCTTAATGTTCAATTACACGGTATATAGTTATATATCCACTGTTAGGAAAAAAAAGTTTGAAAAATCCCAAAGAGCATGACTCATAATGCTTATTTAATTGTGAAATAATAGTAAGACAAAAAAAAAGTGAAGAAAATACAAAACAGCTGTAATAGGATGATAATGCGCAGCTGTCCCTAGTGGGATAAATGGAAATAATATAGAAAGATATACAGTCCCTTGATTTTTGCACGCCTTATAGCGCGAAGCGCGTGAGGTTGTGCTTTTTACTCGACTCGTCAAGGTCAAGCAATTTTGTGATCTTTAAATGCCTCTATCACAACCATATTACCTTTATACAATGATATAAGTAGATGTACACCGAAAAAACACTTAAATTAAACCATCTTTTACTTTCTAAAATCATTTCAAGTTGCTATTTTAAAAAAAAAAAACGTTTTGAAAAAATTTTACGTGGACGTCCGGATGTCACCCCATTTTGGATGTACCAACGATTACTTCCGAACAAATTGATATTTCAAGACCGGATTTTTTTTATTAGTTTAAGAATTCGATTAACTGGGTCCGTATTGCATATCAGTGGCCTAGCTTACGTATTTTTTTTTTTAAATTGAATTTTTATTAAAATTTACTACGATACAACCGTACAAAGCTAAACGAACTTTCCTTATTTGTCACGTGGAAACTATGGCGCCACTTGATCAAGCTAGATTTTTTTAGACTGCGTGCGCGCATGACAAGAAGAAAGGGCGCCGATATTTAAAAAAAAAAAATAAAAAATACTCTGTAAGAATTACTTAATTATAATTTTTTTTTTTTTTTTTAATTAATTACACAATTAATTTTTTTCTTAAAAAATGAATGAGCGCTATGAGGCGTGCACTTTTGGATTTTCCAAACTTTTTTTTTATATATTTAAAATAAAATAAATAATAATTATTTATTTTTCAGAATCTGATAAAATTATTTTAAAAAATGTTTAATTAAAATTTTTTTTTTACAGAGTGAAAAGAGGAGGTTCTAGAGGATTTGTATTACGAGATGAGACTGTCGATGAAGATTTTTTAAAAGCATCTTTGGAAGCTGAACAAAAATGGCTCGGAAAGTTTAAATATACTCAACAGCCAGTTTTACAAAGAAAAGACACTAACAACAGTAGCAAATACAGTTTTAGTACTGAATATAGTTCTGGTGATTATTATTAGTTATTTATTTATTAATTATTTTTTTATGATAAAATTAATAAGTACCATTACACAGATTTTTGCTCAGAATTGGAAGAAGTCTACGAGCAATTGTCAAAGTGGTTGGATGATCCAATAGCATCAGATGAAAACCACGAGTTGGAAGCAAGAGACCGTGCAGTGATTCAATTTGCGGGTTCTCTATTGCGAAGAGCTTTGAGTGAATCATTCGCAGGTGTTCCTGTCCAGGAAGGCGAGCCCCAACTTATCATAGGGACAAATGACGTTCAACAGAAGCACAAATTAGCTCTGGCTGTACGGAGTCTCAGTCTCGAGCTCGCCAGACAGAGAAACAAGCGTCAGCAGTCGGTAAGAATTTTTTTTTTAATTTATATTATTATTTATAGTGTATAGTATTTGCATATTTTGGCGAAGAATGAGAGACAGTGGGTAACAATAAAGTTAAATGAAACAAAGACACAGATCTCAGACACAGAGGATCAACAAGAAGTTGAAGAGGAGGATTTTATGGATGCTTTTGAAGTACAAGAATCTCCAAAGAAAGTTGAATCAAAGCGAAATAAATGGACAATTAATTTAACATCCCTAAAGGAGCTTGAAACTCTTCTTGAAGAAGAATCACCAACTTTTAGTCGGCGACTACAGTTTCCGGAGATAAATATCAAAAATATTTATAGCGATGTCGAAGGAATAAATAATTCGGTGAATACATACAAAAACAAAAAAATATTTTTTTTAATGAATCTATAATATAAAATCTAGCTGGTTAAATAAATAATTTATATTTCTGATTAATTTTTCTCGCTAAACTAATAACTGTCTCTCATTCTTATCTGTCTGACTTAAATCTTAACTCTTACACACTATTTTTTTTTACACTTGCTCATAACTCATAACAATTATTCTTTCAATAATTTCACTACAACTTGGCTTAAATTAAATAAAAAATGTTTGAAAAAAAATTTTTATTAATTTATAAATCAATTTATAGATCCCAGGAGACAGCAGTCCTCAAGACGGTGGACTTTTCCCAGTAGCAACCGGGAACTGGGGCTGTGGATCACGATTGAAAGGTGACCCGCAATTGAAACTGGTGATTCAATGGCTAGCAGCTTCTTTGGCTGGAGTTCCGCGACTTATTTATTACACTTGTGGTAATCCGAATTTATCTAAGGTATTAAATTTTATTTATAATTATAAGATATCGCGTGCCTAAAGGTAAAAGGGTGCATTTTTTTTTTATTGCCAATCGAGTAGTAGACACATTTTACGCTTAAAATTGAAAAAAAAAATTGCAAAGGTAAAAGGGCGTATGTCTTTAATTATACGGCCTTTTACTTTTAAGAATTTGAAATTTTGGTGATTTAAAGGTGAAAGGGCGTATAATTTTTTTTCGGCCAGTTTACAAAAGAACATATTCGTAGTTTAAAAATATGAAAAAAAAACTTTCTGTGGTAGTAGCGGCGTAAAACCTCAACTATACAATTTTTTAAAGTTAAAAAAGAAAATATATCCAAAAAACAATAAAGTACGCGAGATTTAATTAATTACTTAATTTTTACGTAATTTGTTTTTGATTGATTTATTTTTTATTTGTTTATATCAAACTTTGTATATGAGGCTGTTATTTTAGTGTAACTTGTCTTGTGAAACTATTATTTAACATTTGGTATCAAAACTACAATTTTTTTTTATGCGCCTTTTTACCTTTAAGTAGTACTTTTATTAAAGCTAAAAGGCCGAAATTTCAAACCGAATTGCAAAAAAAAATTTTTTTATACGCCCTTTCAGCACAAATTCCTATTAACCTTTTTACCTCGAGGCACGCGATATATTAATTTAAAACTATAATTTATTTATTTATTTTATTAAATTATTCGTAGCTTGATACTGTGAGCAGAGTCCTCACCGACCGAAGATGGACAGTTGGAGACCTGTCGACCGCGATGCTGAGATTCGCGGTTCAAACACTACGAGATCAAGTGAAGGGTCGGAATAGCCTCTTCGACGAACTGATTGGCCACGACAAGCCTAGTCCTTAGCTCAAAAATATTTATCATTTTTTATTGAGCTATCATCAAAGACTTACAGTCAATTGTCTGTTGACTTGCTTCCTGGTCTAATAGATTAAAATTAAGATTTTAAAAAGTTAAAAATTATTATTATTATTATTAAGAATTATTACAGTTCAGCGAAAATATTAAACGCACGGATTTATTTTCAACAGCTCAATTTTAAATAATAATAATAATTGAATAAAATGTTTTTTAAATATTGAGTATTTAAATATTTATATTAGTATCGACCAGAGCATATCAAAAAAAAAAAAAAAAAATAACATCGTAGAAATTAAATAAAACAATAATTGATAATATTCTTATTATTAAAATTGACTGATTATTTTTGAACGTCACTCTTTTAACAGGCAATAATCTACACTATATTTTATACAGTTAATATAAAAAAAAAATAAATAATAAAAAATATGAAAGTCAAAGTTATTTTAAGAACCAGAACTTGCAATAATATTAAAATAAAATTTTAGTGTTTCAATAAAATAATATATATATATCCAGTAGGGTGGCCCAAAAAAACCGACAATTTTTTTTTTTTGAGTCTCGAGTAAAAAAATGTTAGTTTTTGATGTTTTAAGAGCTCTCTCCAAAGGACAGCTTAAAAAAAAATTTTTAAGAGGTCGTTCCAAATTTTTTTAAATTTCAAAAATCGATTTTTTTCTTAAATTTTTTTTTTCGTTACGTTATAATTTTATAGACCAAAAAAAAAGGTTTTCCCGAAAGTTTCATTTCAAAATGTGAATTTTAAAAGGTCGCTCATAATTTTTTTTTAATTTATTAGTATTTAATTGGATTAGCATTTTTTGACTCTGAAATTTAAAAAAAAATTATGAGCGACCTCTCAAAATTTAAATTTTGAATTGAAACTTTCAGGAACTTATTTTTTTTGGTCTTTAAAATTATGACGTAACGAGAAAAAAAATGAAAAAAAAAAAAACTTTCGATTTTTGACGATTTTTGAAATTTAAAAAAATTTGGAGCAACCTCTTAAGAATTTTTTATTGAGCTGTTCTTTGGAGAGGGCTCTTAAAACATCAAAAACTGTCATTTTTTCACCGGAGACTCAAAAAAAAAAAAAAAATAGTCGGTTTTTTTGCGCCACCCTAATATCCAGTTCGAAAAGAAAATAAATAAAATTTAGTGGCCTGAATAAATGATTTTTAAGAAATGGTCTTCCATTATAGGTAAAAGTCTGTCTTATTAAAAAAAAAAAAAAAAAAAAAAAACGGATTTTAAAATCAAATAAAAATTAATAAATAAAATATTGTAGCCTATGATGTATATACTTAGAGTATTAATAAATTTTTATTGTATGTAAAAAAAAAGACATGATTAATTTATAAAATTGTAATCTTTATTGAAAATAATAAGGCATAAGTTAGTTAGTAGGTATGAGTTGTAATAATGTTTGGATCTGAATTAAGATGAACGAAAAAAACGGTTTAGGAGAAAATAGGATCTTGTGTAAAAGCAAGCGGCATACGTCTCAAATTTGCACCCACCAATCCTCCTACAATTATATAAATGTAATTAAAAAAAGTTATCAAGATGGTTAACAATCAACTGGTTTTTAAAAAAAAAGACTTCTCATACGTCTCATGTGCCCAGGGCCCATTCCCGATCGGTCGTACAAAATATTGAACTTGTTCACGAACTGGTTAATGTCGTTGCAGCCCTTGGTAACTATCCCGAGGTATGTCATTAATCCGAAATCGTTGCATTGCTAAATGTAAAAAAGAAATACATTTTTTATCAACTAATTATTAAATAATTTAATAAAAATAGCAATATTTAAATAAACTTACGTTGTAGAAATCAGCTTTGAACCTATCACTATTCAAGACAGGTAAATGATGAGCCAACGACCGAGCAGCTCTCAAAATTTCGTGGTTTGGAGGCAGTTCTCCTTTTTCAACAGCACGGAGATACATCAAAATAAGTTTTACTCTTGAATACAACATTTTAATAGCGCTATGCTGTGCCATAAGATGCTCAGCAACTGAAAAAATTATTATCAATATTAAGTTGAAATAACTAATTAATAATAAATATGAAACAAGTTAGCAGACATCTGTCATTTTTTGGACTTTTGCAACAAATAAATTACTAAAAAGAAAAAATTAAAATAATATTTTTTTGACACATTTACGAGTGAAATTTTTCAAGAAAATTTTTTTATAATAATTTGTTGAAAAAATTCCTAGAAATCATCATATATAAGCTAAATATACTTCAGTACCTTATAAAAAATTCTGATATAAAAAATAAATAATATTTAAAAAATACCTAAAGAACTTTCTCCTTGATCGTTGCTACACATCCTCGCAACATGATCAACACCAATTCTTTCAGCTTCTTCAGTAGCTAATGTGTATGTCAAAGGTACAAAAAGCATTGTAGCTTCACCAGCAACAAGATCAATAACAGACTCGTACATTGATACAGATAGTTGCTGAAAAATGAATAAAATATTAATATTAATTGCATTTTTACAATTAAGTTATCAATAATTAATCAACATGGATAAAAAATTAATTACATCTGCATTTTTGGGTCTTGGATCAAGCTTAAGAAGCACTGGACTCTCGTTGATGGCACAAATTTGTCTATGAACTTTAATATCTCTATCATTGGGCATGTCTCCAGTAGTATACCAGCCAAGGAAGTCCATCTCACTGAACACCTGCTTGAACTGCTCTTCTTTTGTGTTATAGTAATCTCTGTCAATAACAACATCACCTTCAACCAACGTGAACACCAGCTCGAAGGAGTTCATTATTTCTATGTGTCTTCCTTTTTGTTTTCCAATTAATGCTCCGTAGACTGAAATGAAAAATGACAGTCATTATAACTATAAGTAATTTAAATAAAATAAAAGTACTTAAATCAGCTGACACCTGACAATATTTTTGATTTTTATTAAAAATTAATTATGAAAATAAAGTTAGCCAACATCTAAAAATTTTTATGATTTTTTTTATTTAAAAATTGTTACAAATAAATTAAAAAAAAAATTTCATTTGTAAAAAATTTGAAAAACTACCTGTGGAATTTTTGAAAATTATTTTTTAGTTCTGATTAAATGATTAAAAAAAAATCAAAAATTTAAATAACGCCGGCTAGCTATAATTATAAAGTTAGCCGACGTTTTTAATTTTTTTTCATTTATTAAATTAGAAGTAAAAAATATTTTTGGAAAATTCCACTTGTAGATTTTAAAGTTTTTTACAAATGAAATTTTTTTTTATTTTTTAGTAATAATTTTTTCAATAAAAAAAAATAATAAATATTTTTAGATGTCAACTAACTTTAGTATTATATAAATTTGACAGATGTCTTTTAATTTCACTATAAAAAAATAAAACAATGGATACCTAGTTGATCGCTGCCTTCCTGAGCGCGTAACCTGGTCCAGTGCTCGCTGACATTCATGATAACCAGAGGATGTAAACTCACCGAAACAGATCCGACTGTTCCTGAGGACGCCATAACTCGGCAGGAGCTGCTGCCAGAATTGGAACTCGTAGAAGGTCCCGCGACATCCACTGCAGGATTTACGACTTCCATCGAGGATCCACTATCCAATGCAATGTTTTCGTCTACTTCCATTTCACTCGCGTCTGGCTTAGAGCTCATTTTTTATTTTGTTCGTAGAAAGTAAATATTAATTTAACAGAGAATAATTTAAAAAATTACTATCAGTATTTAGACTTTAAATATTTTATCTTATATTTATTAATATCGCAATCAACGTTGCATGTTTGCGCTGATGTTTACCACAAATTGCAATCACAAGTGTAAAATTGATAATTCGTTTTTTAGAGGTTAAGATTAATTTTGACGCGCGCGCCATCTGGCATGCGCGCGCATTATTTAAACTTGCAGAAATTGTGTACAGCGCTGGATGAAATCTTTGAATGAATGAAAGAATTGTTTGTTGTCAGATGTGTCAGTTGCGTTTGAGCTTCTATCGTGAGTGCGTTTACTTATGATACTACTGAAAAAAAAAAAAAGTAGTAAATAAGTACTCAATGTAAATACAATTATTTGTTAATAGTAAAATTATAATCTTGTTGGAAATTTTATTTAAATAGTGAGTTGTTTACTTTTTTTTGTTCGAAAACATTTTGTAACTACTTTGTGGTTTTTTATGTCACGAAAGGATATACAGGAAACTCTTTATGCAGCATCAAAATTGTTACTTTTACTGTAAGATTACTTTTTTTTTTTTTTTACTAACAACATAATTAAATAATGATAAATTTAGATAACATTATAGTTAGCAGTCACTTAACAATTTTTTAATTTTATTTAACAAAAAAATTTGTCCCAAAAAATTATTTTTAAAAAATTGCATTTTTTATTTCACATGTCAATTTTTTTTTGTCATAATTTATTTGTTATAGAATTTTTATAATTATTAAATATATGCTAAATTAATTTTCATTAAATTTAGCAGATTTTTAGAATTTTTTTTAACAAATAAATTATGGCAAAAAAAATGAATATAAAAAAATTGACATGTAGAGATTTTAAAAAATTAAAAATGCAATTTTTTTTAAATAATTATTTGGAGCAAATTTTTTTGTTAAAAAATTCTCTAATGACTGCTAACTTATATGTCATCATAATTAAATTATTATTTTAAAAAATTCGCATAATTTCTTAAAAATTTTACGGGGTTTTTTTTCTAAATGAAAAAATATATTTTTTAAAGTTTGAAAAAAAAAATGTCAGATTTCTAGTAACAATATAATTATACATTTTTTTAAATCACTTGAAAAAATTAATGTTATTTATGCGCTGTCATAAAAATTTCTACATAAAGAAAATATTAAAAATTTTCTACTTTGATTATCAATTTTTCCTTAGTAAACAATGTCTACATAATGATAAGAATTGTCGAGAAACTATTTATTTATTTAACAAATAGTTTACTATCAATGTACAAATTACACTTCGGACGTCACTATAATCATAATAATTCAACAATAAAAGCAACCTACACTTGTATGCAATGAGCTACCTTGTACGCAATGAAATAAGAAAAAAAACAATGACAGAAAATCCTAACGACATTCCATATATAAAAAAAAGAAGATTATAAAAGAAGAAAGTTGAAGCCCTTGGAATAGTTTCAAGTTCAAGCCAGCCAATCGGATCACTGGATTTTGTGTTACTTATTCTTAAACATTGTGAATAATGGATTATAACACATTATATTTATTATGCAACTGCTACAATTGCTACCTATTAACTTTAATTATTTTGCAGATAATGTTTAACAACAAAATTACTTTGGATTGTATTTAAAATTTATAAGATGAAATGATATTATATTAAAAAATTATATTTACAACATTTAGATGATAGAATATAAAGCTGGTGGTGGAGATAGAAGTTTTGGAATACCTATACTTGTTCATTGCCGTTGATTGAAATAAATCTCAATGGCTTAACGATTGTTGCGTGCAGCATTTCTACTTCCGTTGAATTTAAAATTGACTAGACATGATTGATGAGAGAAGACTACGCTATTTTTATGATGTTATGGTTGATGCTGATGATTGCGATTGAGATAAAAGAAAATTATATTTTGATGTTGATCCAAGAGAGAAGATATTAATTTATTTTTATTATTTAATTACAAGGTGGGTTTAATAAAAAAAAATTTTTTTCTCTTCAGGCTTCAAAATCATGCTCATGATATGTCTTATAAAGTGACCGTCTTTTATTTCTCATGCAATAATTAGCTACGACAAAATTTTTCAGCAAAAATTTCTTATGCAATATTTTATCCTAGCAATATTTTTTCATGGCAAAAATATCTTTGAATATATTTTCTCAGACCAAAATTTCTCATACGCTTATTATATACCTTAACACACAAAAGCCATGATCAAAGGGTCATTTTATTGTTGAAGATATACAAGCATTTTCGTAAATGATGATTAATTTTCGTCAGATTAAGGGGGAACACCACTGTGACGATTATTACTCTAAATTTTTATTAAAAAATATTTAATTATTACAAAGTTATTAACAATCTCGTAGAACATTAGACAAAATTTCCTCCTCCATGGTCGGTTGGATAACGCAAAAACGGATCATCTGAAAATAAAAACCCAAATTGCTTTTTAATCAGTAAGGATGTAGTTATAGTCGCACGTGCAGAATTTTGAAAATTTTAATTTTTGAAAAAATAGCAACTGATTGAAAATTTTCTCACTATTCTTACTGTTTTTTTTTTTTTTTTTTTTGTTTTAACCCGGCTAAAAAAATCTTAAAAATAAAAATTTTTTTAATTCCGTTCGTGCGACGATAACTACATCTTTACTGAATAAAAATCAATTTGGGTTTTTATTTTCAGATGATCTGTTTTTGAGTTATCGAACCGACCATGGAGGGGGAAATTTTTTCTAGTGCTCTACGAGATTGCTAATAACTTTGTAATAATTAAATATTTTTTAATAAAAATTCAAGGTAATAATCTTTAATGTACCCTTAATAAAATAAAAAAAATCCGATCCCCAAATTCCTTTATTTTCCATGTCAAAAAAATTCCCAAAAATCACTTCTTTTTTTTATCGTCACAGTGGTGTTCCCTCTTAATTTATGTCGTGATAAATTTTTGCTGAGAAATTTCTACATGAGTAATTTTTGCGGATTAATAAAGGCGGAGAGCCGTCTTATAAAACAATGATTTCTTTATGAGAAAAATAATTGAGAATTGTCAGAACAAAGAATTGAAGCAAGAAGAAATAAAAATGATTAAAAAATTTCTTAACCTGCCGTATTGAATGCAATATAATTTATTATTGCAAATGTAAACATATAAATATGTATCATCAGTGATAGTTAACTTGTCATGACGTCACGGGAAGAGAGAGCGAGTGGAAGAAGAAATTAAAGTATGTCACAGTGATGGCATTGAGACTACTACCATTGCCACGGATGTACTCTCGCGAATGTTGTCCTCTGTCCGTTGGGACCACTGGTCAGGTGATCAACATTTTAACGCTTTTTGCAGAATTATCTCCAGGTTGTTGCCTTGTAGGTTATAATTATATTTGTAGAAGTTGTAATAGTTGCGGCCACGTAAACAGGACAGTCTTTGGATTTCAAGGTCGTGTGACTGGCATACGATAGATTTCAGGTCACTATTGTCATTGTGCTCTTATTAATTAATTGTTTAACTGTTATTCGAAAAATTACAAAGGCATTGTCTGAGAAAATTGATTACTTTGTTGAATTAAAGCTAGATTATGTCGAGACTGATTTAAACAAGGGAATTTTATTATTACTTTGCACTTTTAACAATAAGTATGTTTGAAGTTTGCTAAATTGTAAATTTTATTGGGTTTTGCTGGTGAATTATTTATGAAAATAGTTTATTTATGTATGGACTTTATGATTGTTTGTTTTGAAAGTTAACTTTAGTATTGCATTAGAGTAAGAAAAATATTAAATTAATAGGTATTAATTTTCTTTATACATTTTTATATACAACTTTTGATAAAAAAATGAACGAGTGTAATGTAACTTACAGGAATTAGTTTTTTTTTTTTATAAATTTCGGATATTAAAATTGGGATTTTTTAAATAAACACTAGACTTCATAGAAAGAAAAAAAATATTAATTTAAAATTAAGAGAAGAAGATTAAGGCAAAGCGGATGAAGAATAAAAAAATAATTGGAAAAGAAGAATGTATGGACTTTTTTAAAACACGTAAAATAATCTAATTAAAATTTATAATAATAATAATAATTTAAAAAAACCGAAGTTATGAAATGAAGAAATGTTAAAAAAAAATTTTTTTAATATTTTAAAAGATCAATATTATTCTGATTAATAATCAGTTAATAATTATTGTTAGTTTTTATAATGACAAAAAATGTTAATAATAATAATTTTTTAAAAATCTAAATTAGAATGTTAAAAAAAATTTTTATTTTATTTATTATTATTATTATTATTATTTTCAGATAATAAAAATAGATAAAAAGACATAAATGATAGACAATTTGTTTGATGACTTGTTTATCGTAACTTGTATTGGTATCAAGTTTTCAATTTGAACTTGTACATCCAAGCAATGACTTAAAAGATTCGATGATAAATATTGCAGCTTTCACTCAAAGTGATATTTATAAAGGAGTTGTCGTCGAGATTGATGAGCTAAACTATTTCTAGAACGTATAATTTTTCATACAAAACAATACAGCATGAATTCAGCAATCAAACAAAAATTCATTAATTAATTAATTAATTAATTAATGACAATGACTACGTTTTACAATCAGAGTAATTGAATACATAGCAATCTAATATGAAGAAATAACTGAATGATAAGATAATGAATTACGTTTAATGACCAGCTGGCTGTCCGTTCCAAGTAAAGAGTTTTATTAAGTTAAGATAAACATATCGTATGTTTTATTACATTAAAATAAGAGTCGTCGGTCTCTATCTGGTCGTTGGTGATAGTGAATCGTATACAATAACCTGTTGTATTTAATTAAAATACGACAGTACTTAAGAATATAGTATTAAACAGGATATAGTACGTCAGGATGAAAAAATTTCAAATATAAACAATGAGATGGCTTGAGTTTAAGAAGGAGGCACGCAAGCAGAAACAATTTTTGAAAATATGTATGCTACACACAGAAGATTGCTTCCTATGTCCTGCTCATCAACTTTCTCTCTGCTCAACAAAGAGTGGAACTTTAGTAACAGCAACGGTTCCTTATCCACCGTAAATAACTACAAGATTAATAGATTGTTCTGCGGTAATAATATAAGGAAAGAATATCATGTGATTTATAAATCTTGTTATCAAGATATTTGTTTGTTACTTTCATAATTTTCTATTTAGATCATTTCCTTATTTATTTTTTTATAAAATTATTTCTTCGGTGATCGTTAACAAGTTCTGATCTTCAATAGCAGTCTTTAAAGTGCAGTAATTATTTATAAAAATTATTTAATTTATCACTCACAGATAATGTAAAAAAAACTCGCTTTCACTGAGTATTAACAAGTCCATTTAAATTAATAAATGGCAAAAACTGCGATTATCGTTCTACTGATAATGAATATAGCCAGTCAATGTTTTTGTATATATTTATTAGAATTTTATGATACTTCTATTCAAATAGATTTACCAACAAACTGTTTATGTAAAGAAAAGCGAAATTATTACTTAAATGTAAACTTGAGTAACAAATGTATGCTTAGTTGTCTATTAATTGCAATTAGTGTTTATTTTGAAGCAAGTAAATCTATTAAATATGTATGAGCTTAAAAGGTTTTTTGTAATATGAAAAGCCATACAGCACATGGAGACTAAAGTCCATTTAGTCGAGTAGTACTTGGTGGGTCGAATAACGGTCAAAGACAACCGGAGTGTATTCAACTTATATTATCGAGTTGTCCTCTTACTCCCTCATTTAGTTTCTTTTCTTCGTCGTTAAATAAAAATACCGAGCACCTCAAAAATCTTAAGACCCATTATACCGTCTATTAAAATGAAATTAAACGGCAAAAGTAACACAGTTTTATTTTATCTTTATATATTGTTATTTCGAATGATATTATTTTTAGTGTACCAACCTAAATACCTATTTCGTTCACTGTAATTGCAATAATAATCGATTGTGATTCAAGTTGGCGATAAGTATTTTTTGAGAACGGTACTGACCTACTCACTTGGATTGCTGATTGTCAACTTCCCATTTAAAACACTTTTGTTATTTGTATTATCGTATATTGTAATAAATTGTCGAATCGAGATACGAGACATTACTTTTATTTAAGATGTTTCGAAATTTAAGAGATCGAGAATTTTCGCAACTATGTGAAAGTTATACTTTTAAATTATCATATCATTTTAAAGTAAATATTTGATTACAAATTATTATTATCGCTACTTCATAAAAATTAATAATAATAATATATTAATCAATCTTTAAAAAAATATTTACAGATTTTTTTAAAACATCTAATCAATTTTTTTTAACATTTCTTCATTCTATAATTTAGATTTTAAAAAAATTATTATTATTAACATTTTTTTGTCATTATAAAAACTAATACTTATAATAATAATAATCAAAATAATATTGATCTTTTAAAATACTAAAAAATTTTTTTTAACATTTCTTCGTTTTATAACTTCGGTTTTTCTTTTTTTAATTATTATTATTATTATTATTATTTCACAAAAATCAATAATAATAAATTCATAAATCTTTAAAAAAATTGTTGCTGCTTTATAAAAATTAATAATAATATTGATCTTTAAAAATTTTTTTTAGTATTTCTTCATTTTATAACTTTGGTTTTTTAACAATAATGATTATAATAATCATTATTATTATTTAATTGCTTCTTTATAAAAATTAATAATAATATACTGATCAATCTTTAAAAAAGTACCTACAGATTTTTTTAAAACATCTAATCAATATTTTCTTAACAATTTTTCATTCTATAATTTAGATTTTTAAAAAATAATTATTATTAACATTTCTTCATTTTATAACTTCGGTTTTTTCTTAAATTATTATTATTATTATTTCACAAAAATTAATAAAAATAAATTCATAAATCTTTAAAAAATTGTTTAAAACATCTAACTAATTTTTTTAACATTTCTTCATTTCATAACTTTGATTTTTTAGAAAGAATTATCATTATTGTTTTTGTTGTTGTTATTATTCAATATAAACAGCAGAGCACTGATAGTGATTCTATCATTTACTTCAATATTCTTTCAACTTTCGGTTAAAGATCATGTAATTTATTTAAAAAGAAAAAAGTAAAACTAAGAAAAAAAAAACATTAACAATGCGATAAACACAGCTCTGATGAGTAAAGAAGTAGACATGATACGTTGTCTAAATTTATATATCACATTCGGAAGATATTAAAAATGGGGCATTGTTCATTCATTCTTCATCAGTAAAATATTGTAATTAATAAGAAGATAAATATAAATATTGATAATAAAATTGCGCCATCACAATCGGTAACAACTATTAGAAAAATAAGTAAGACGCTACTTTATATTTTTTATAAAACGCGCTATTTATAATATTTGCTCTACTTATAAGCACTCCACCTACTGATTGGATGTATTATAAATTGTATGTAATATATAAATTGTAATTATTCCAAGAGGAAAGCATGCAAAGTAATATTTATTTTATTATTCAATGTAATTTGATCGAAGAAATGTAATACAAAACTTGCAAGAATTAATTAATGTAAAACTCGTTGGACCGGTGATTAGATAAAAAGTCTTACATGTTGTAGCTAATATTTAATAGATTTGTGAGTTGTTCTTCTATCGTAATCAAATGGTGCGACATTGACCTACCTAGACGTAACAGGACCCGAGGTGAATGCGCTGTCAAAAATTTACATGTCTTCTGTATCCAGTAACGGTCCCGATCTATATATATATATATATATATATATATATATATACATATACTTTTTCCAATATTTGTGTTCCCTTTTACTGATGGCTTCTTTTAAATTTATTCCAGGTAATCAAAGCGTACTCCGGATCCAAAGAATAGCATGATAAGTCAAGGATGGAGACTGCTGACCTACTGCCCACTGCTCCTGTGCCTACTATTGCTTTCAGACAATACTTCAGGTGAATATTAAAACTTTTTAGTTTTTAAATTAATTGTCTTCAATTAATAATACTTTTTTTAGGAGCCGTCATAAATGGGAATCTTGATAGGGTGAAAAGACAAATAGAGGTTGAGAGGACTAATTGGACCCAGCTAGCAGATGAATGGATGTCAGCTAAAAAAAGAATCAGTGATCAGTTCATCCCAATTTTGCCGGAGTCTGATGGAAATGTCAGGGAATTACCACCGACGGCTGAAACTTTTGTACATGGAATGACAACTGAACAATTATCCAGAGTAATAATAAGTATTTAGCTGTCTCGGGTCAAAATAGTAACTGAAAAATTTTTAGACTTCATTTTATCGATATTGTTGGATTTTTAGGTAGATTTCGTTATAGATCCTTGTTTCAGGGGTGCAAAAACCTGGAAGATAAAAAATAATTAGAAAAAAAAAGTTTACTTCAAGAAATAAATTCAATGGCTCGAGACAATTATTATTATAATCTACATTCAAGAAAATTGTCCTCTTGAAAAATGATAATACAGAAATTGAAAGACATTTAATGATTTTTAGAATTAATTTGAGGAATAAATTATTATAAAAAAAAATTCTACACGAGGGAGTTCAAAAAACTTATTAATGAAATTAGATAAAAATATTTTCTCAGTATTAAGTAATTTAATCTTGAGATAAATCTTCATGAATATTTTATAGAGCCAAGAAAATTTTTAGGTAGATTTCATTAGAAATCGGCTTGTTGCAAACGGAGTCATGTTGGAGTTTACATAAAATTTTGCAGTATGTTTTATTTTGTTGAGTTGTGCCGAAAAATAGCACCAGCTCAAAAGTTTATGTATGTATGTGTGATAGAACCGGCCTTGTGAGCACGATTACGGCCGCAATTATCGACGGATCTTGATGAAACTTGACGAATTTTTCGTATCAATGAAAACCTAGGTCAAGTTAAAAAAAAAAACGGGCAAATTGGTCCATTAGTTCCAAAGTTGTGGGTGGTTCAAGAAATTTTTTCATTTTTATGAAACTAAAAATTTTGCGAGATTTTTCCAAATAACTTTAAAACTATAATTGATAACTAAATTCTGTCAATTGTATCTTAAAGTTCATATGATTATCTTCAATTTACGTAGTATTATTTTCTTCTCATAAAATTTTTTATATTTTTTTCATTGCTTTTAAAATCACCGAAAATATTAAAAATAATAACTTTTATGGCATTATCTTAAATTAGCTTCTGCTTAACTTATTGTATCGCGATTTCATAAATTGCATGTTATAGCTCAAGAAATAAGCTACAATTTTCACTATTAAATCTATAATTTCTCTAGAGTTTGTATATTTTAAGAGCGCTCTAAAGTTAGTGACAAAATTTTCAGCTCTTATGTGCAAAAATTGATAAATCTACCTTTCCATATCAGGTGTAACCAAATAGTGCTTATTTAGTCCTTCAATTTAAATAAGCAACATGATTTTTTCTTATAAATTTTCTTGTTAATATATCTTCTGTGTCTAATTCAAATTTTTTATAAATTTCGAGTAAAAACCTTTTTTTTTAGAGGAAATTAAAAAAAAAACTAAGAAATATCAATTACTGTTTTGAAATGGAGTAGCCTTATTATAATTTATGACTTATTGTATGAATAATTGCAGGTAAATTATTCAAGAATGCTCTGGGACATGGAAAACGTCCAACAAAATGGACACTTGTCCCTGTTTGTCGACAAAGCTATGAAACTTCTAGACCTGCAGAAAGTAATGGTAGAAGTCGAGACCTCGGTGATGTCCAAGGTTTCTTGCACCGCTTGTAAAGTCGGCGCTGGTCTGCTCCAGCATTACATCAAAAGCGGAAAGACCGACCAGGAAATAATGACTAGTATTTATCAGTTTTGCGTACAACTTCGGATACAGAGCTCACGAGTTTGTCAAGGCGTGACGCTGCTTTTTGGAGTAAGTTATTAAAAGTTAATTTTTTAATTACAATTTACAAAAATTTTATATTTCAAAGCATTAAAATTTTTTTTTTATAAAAGTTTTTTAGCTATAAAAAAAAAATGTGGACTGAAATTATTTTATGAAAAATTTTATTATAAGAGATCTAATAAAAAATAACTATTGTTATATAATCTAGAAAATGATAACAGAGGTTGTTGTTTGTTACAAAATTTTGTCTTTATATTTATATTTTTATAGTTCAAGATATTTTAAATTTTAATAAGAAATAATTGAATTTATAAATACAAGAACTGTCACTTTTTAAGAAGAAAAAAATTAACATAAGTAGAGAAATTATACTTGAGTATGATTTATAAAAAGTTATTAATATTCAAGATCATTTTAATAAACTGTAAATTTAAATTATTTATTTAAAAATTTTTTAACTTAAAAAAAAATGAAATTAAAAAATTTGTCAAGTCTTAAAAAAAAATGATTAATATCTTAAAAATAAAACTATTTTTTTTTCATAATAATTAAAATAAATTTAAGTATTTTGAAAGTAATACTTATAAATAGATCTGAAATGAACCATCAAGTCTTTATTTTGATAATATAAATTGAAGCGAAAAGAAAAGACAAACATGAATAAAATGAATAAAAAAAGGCAAAAAACAACGATAGGCGTAAAAATGAGTACATGGTACTTTCTACTTGTAAATTATAGGCAACGAGTGATTTCACCGATCACGTACTGAGGTTTAATCGAGTATAGGTAATTTATATTATATGTACAACCACATCTAAGTATTCCCTGTAAACGGTAGCTAACATAAGCTGGTACTTATAATCTCAGCTACGACTGATAATAATTTGTTATTTCATCATTCATACCATCAGTTTTTCATACTGTACATATTTATAATTCTGAGATAAAAAATTTTTTCTATTTTAGGGTGAAGTAATCTACGTTCTCAAGCAAGTAAACATGGGTCCCGCGCAGATCTGCAGCTTTGTAATCGGAGATGCTTGTGACGACGCATACAATCCTCTTCATGAGTGGGAAGTCGCTTTTCCACCGGTTAAGAAACCACCGATTGAACCACCAATTCCACCCAAGGAAGGAGCTCCGACCTTCAAAGTTCTTCATATTTCAGACACTCACTACGATCCTTACTATCAGGTACTGGTGAAAGAATTAATTATTAAGAGATTGCACGCGATTAATATTTTTTTAAAATTAATTTTTGTAATCTATATTATTAAGAGACTAAGAGAATTTTGTGACCAGTGTATTTATATGATAAAATGAGTTTTTATGGTTAAATTCTCACAAATAGTCAATTTATGATGATAAGTATTTGGGCTGCATTCCAAAATGTTCTATCTCTAGATACATAATTAAGAAATGACCTTGTACCTTGTAAACTATTGACATTATTAAAGATATAAGCTCATCACGATGATACACTCATCAAGACCTTTCATTTGAGTACCCACATCAATTTTTCATAAATTTTATGTATTTATGTATATTATATATATATATATGAAAAATATATCAAAAATGCATGTTGGTACTCAAATGAAAGCTCTTGACGAGTGTAACATCATTATGAGCTTATATCTTTAAAAATATCATGAATAGACAAAATACAATATAATTTTTTAATTATTGACTTTTTTTAAAGATATAAGCTCATCTTGATGTTACACTTATCGAGACCTTTCATTTGAGTACCCACATCAATTTTTCATATATTTTATATATTTATATATATTACATATACGTATATATGAAAAATATATCAAAAATTCATGTGGGTACTCAAATGAAAGCTCTTAATGAGTGTAACGTCCATTTATTTTAAAAATTTGGCCCTATCAATTATACTAAGTATTCAAAATTATTTTTTTTTTTAATTCTAGGAAGGATCCAATGCGAATTGCAACGAGCCTCTTTGCTGTCGATTAACCAATGGAGCGCCAGCATCAACAGCCGACGCGGCTGGTCGATGGGGTGACTACAGAAAATGCGACACCCCGAAAAGAACAGTCGACCACATGCTGAAGCACATCCAAGACACCCACGCAGACATCGACTACATCCTCTGGACGGGCGACCTGCCTCCCCACGACGTCTGGAACCAAACTCATGAAGAGAATCTAAAAATTCTCCGGGAAACGGTCGCGCAGATGTCTACGACTTTCCCCGGGGTCCCGATTTTCCCCGCGCTGGGCAACCACGAGTCAGCTCCAGTGAACAGTTTCCCTCCTCCGTTCGCTCCAGACGAAAACAAGATCGAATGGCTGTACGACGAACTAGATAAACAATGGAAGCGGTGGTTGCCTGCCGGAGTGTCCCACACTGTTCGCAGGGGAGCCTTCTACTCAGTCCTGGTGCGACCTGGCTTCAGGATCCTCTCGGTGAACATGAACTACTGCAACAACAAAAACTGGTGGCTGCTGATCAACAGCACTGACCCCGTCAGCGAGCTTCAGTGGCTGGTTTACGAGCTCCAGGGTGCTGAAATGAACGGCGAGAAGGTTCACATAATCGGTCACATTCCTCCAGGACACTCAGACTGCCTGAAGATCTGGTCCAGGAATTACTATCATATTATTAATAGGTACGAGTCGACGATTGCTGCCCAATTCTTTGGACACACGCACTATGACGAGTTCCAGCTGTTCTACGACACGTCGGACCTGGGGCGAGCCTTGAGTATCGCGTATGTCGGGCCCTCGGTGTCGCCCTACTATGACTTGAATCCGGGCTACAGGATTTATTATGTAGATGGAGACCATCCGAAGACCACCAGGATGGTTGTTGACCACGAGAGCTGGGTGATGAATCTCAAGGAGGCTAATCACTATGACTACCCCATTTGGCGCAAGATGTACAGTGCGAGGCAGGCTTATCAGATGCCGTCTTTGCTGCCTAAAGATTGGGATGCTTTGATTGATAAAATGACTAATGAGCCCTCCAATTTCGATCTCTATTATAAGTAATTATTTTATTTATTTATTTAAAAGGATAATTTTTTATTTTGGATAAGTGTTTTTATAGGTGATAAAATCATTAAATTATTTATTTTTTTTTTGACATTATTTATTTGAACTTTGAAAATTTTTTAGGCACAAGCTTTAAAAGTTCTGCATTTTGTCACTATTTTTCTATTTATGTGAAACAAAAAAAAACTTTTTAAATGATAAAAATTAAAAATTAAGTAAGTTCATTATAAAAAAGAGATAATATTAAAAAAAATATGTCAACAACTAATTATCACAAAGAAAATTAAATGATGATACCAAAAAAATTATCTACAAAAAGTGGCACCAAAAAAATTACAAATTTTTTTTTATCATCCAAATTTATATTTTTATTTTTCTTCTCACAATTTTTTTAAATTTCTAAAGAAATTTTCTCTCTTACATATTAATTTTTTTTTAACAATTGATAATTAATAAAAAAATTTTTTTTTCAGACATTATTACAAAAATTCACCAGTTCGACCGGTCTGCAACAATGAGTGTCGAAAAAGAATGCTTTGTGATTTACGAAGTGGTAGAAGCCACGACCGAAAAGCTTTGTGCCAGACTCTGGAGTCCAGGATCGACGGCGCTACTGGAAACAGCTGGCGCGAGTGGATCTACAACGGCTTGGCCCTCTCGTACGTAAAAAATTGGTGGATGGAAAATTACAATGGCAACACCGAAACTAATCAAGTCAATCTCTAGCTAATAATATTTAAATAAAATCTATTACTAACAATTACCGCACATATCTATTAAGAATCTTTATAATTTACCTTAATTTCTACAATTAACCGTAATCATTTGTTATATATTAACTAAATACTACTTACTAATTACTTCTTGTATTAGCTATCTATTTTCAAGGTTTATTTAAGTGCTAGTTAAATTTAATTTGTTTAAAATCAAAGTAGTTATTGAATAAAATTTCTACTAAAATAATTAAATAAATTTTTACACTTTAAATAATTTCAGAAAATTGGATCTGCTTGTTGCAAATAATTCTACTGAAATTAGCAGACATTTTTTTTTTTTTTTTTAAGGAATTAATTATTTATTAAATGTCTGATAATTTCAGTATTATATAAAATATTTTATATTGTTATATTAATCATAAGAATTTATAAAAATAAGCTTTTATTTGTAAATATCGGAATAAGTATCTTTTGTTCAGTGCTAACTGGTGGTGGAAAATGAAACAATGAAAAACACTGGCTTTTAAGTGTGTAAGTGTAAACAAATATTTTAATTAATAATAATTGATGGCTATAACTACTAATTCTCGATATTAAATTTTATTTTAGGATGTCAGTAGTGATGGCAATTCCTCGGTTTGCGTACAATCTACCGAAATACGTACTGGGACTGGGCTAGTCTCCAATTGGATCTATGGAAAATAAAATAAAAATTGAAATTGTTAATTATTGAGCAATTAAATTCCTTATCAAGCTCTTAATTATTGTGGCTCTTAGATTTAATGAGTCATGAGTCACACTGGTCGAATTAATTGCAGCTTACTTGTATATAAAATTTAGACGTTGATTATTTATATGATCATAAACTTATCATAGTAAATAAATTTGTTGTTAATGTAATATTTAAAATAAATATTTTAATATTTTATACATTATATATAAAATTCATTTGTGTTTTATTTACAAAAAATCCGATATATAATTAGTGTTGTAATTAATTTATATTCATTTTTAAAAATGTTTTTTTTATTAAGAACTTTTTTTTTTAAATTTATGTTTATTCAATTTATAAAAATAATAATAATAATTATTATTATTATTATTTAATTTATTGAGAAAAAAAATTATTAAATTTTAAATTTTAATTTCGCGCCAAAAATTTGAATTTTTAAATTAAATTACTTTAAGCGCCATATTTCTTCTTGACCAATTGACAGTAAGAAGAAAATATTTTTTCTGAATGAGATATAATTTATTTTTATATTCCATGTGCTGAGTGTGTTATTAAATGTAATAATAATTAAAAATAAACAAATTCTACAAAGTAAGTATATGAAAAAAAATTAAGATTAAAAAACTAGTTCTCCAAATTAATAATTTATTTACCTTGTAGATAGACTAACAAAATGTCGGCGCCGCTTGGGGAAATAATAGACGACATTGAGGACTTGATAACCTCCCAAGATATAACCCCTAAAGAGCGATACAGTTCTAGGAAAAAGGTGACAATTAGGTCAAAGAACAAAAAAAATAACCCAGATGAAAACTGTGATCAAGAAGTGCCTGAAGTTTCTGTGCTGTCAAGTATAATTCCCGGGTGCCAGACCATTTACTTAAAAACATGGGGCTGCACTCACAACAGCTCCGACACCGAGTACATGGCTGGACAGCTTGCTGCCTACGGGTACAAGTTGACCGAAGAGAAGGAAAAGGCTGATTTGTGGTTGCTTAATTCTTGCACGGTTAAAGCTCCAGCGGAAGATCATTTTAGGAATGAAATAGAAGCTGGACAGAAATCAGGAAAACATGTCGTCGTCGCTGGGTAAATTTATTATATTAAAAAATCTTCACTGTTTTTTGACGTAAAAAATTAAAAAATTAACTTTCAAAACTTTTTTTTATTGTTTTGATTAAAAAAACTAACGATATTTAAGTTAGCTGTCACTTGACAAAAAATACTATGAATTTTTTTTTTTTAATTCTTTATTTTTTTATGCTCGTCAAAAATAAAAATAATGTGTTGCTTGACAAAAAACCAAAACAAGTAACGATACTGAATTTAACAGACATTTAACAATTTAATTGTAAGGAAAAAAATTTAACAAAAAAATTTCACATGTAGAAATTTTAAAAAATTATAAGTGTGAATTTTTTAAAATATTCTTTTTATAATAATTGATTTGTTATAAAAATTCGAATAATTGTCAGATGTCTGCTTATTATGACCATTTTTTAATTTTTTTTTTTTTTTACAAATAAATTAAAATTATTTTAAAAAAATTGCATTTTTTATTTTTAAAAATTTCTAAAGTAAAAGACCCAGTTATTGACACTTGCAATTTTATTCTAATTAAAAAAATAAAATGTTCTCAAAAAACCAATTATCTTAAAATTTATATTTATTAATTTATTAGAGTCTTGTTTAGATTTAGAGTAACTGGGTCTTTTACCTTACCTCTTAATTATTTTTCTACTTTTTTTGTCATAATTTATTTGTTAAAAAAATTCTTAAAATTATCAAATATCTTGTAAATTAATTTTCATCTGCGAATTTCAGTATATCATAACAAGTATGAATTTTTTCGATTTTAAAACCGCGAAAAATAAAAATAGAAATATAAAATTTTATGAGTGATTTATAAACCCGTCATAATGAAGAAAAAAAAAATTTGAATAAATAAATTTTTGTATTTTTTACAGTCAAAAAACAAAATAAAAAAAATACATTATGTAGAATAATAATTAATAATAATAATAATTTGCAGTTGCGTGCCACAAGGAGCACCAAAGACAGGTTTCCTAAAAGGCCTGAGCGTGATAGGGGTCCAGCAAATCGACCGCGTTGTCGAAGTAGTAGAAGAAACCCTAAAAGGTAACACCGTGAGATTTTTAGGTCAAAAGAAAGAAGCTGGTAAAAAAATCGGTGGTGCTTCATTGGCTCTCCCCAAGGTAAGAAGGAATCCGCTGATAGAAATAATAGCAATCAGCACCGGGTGTCTCAACCAGTGCACCTACTGTAAAACAAAGCACGCCAGAGGCCAGCTGGGAAGTTATCCCCCCGAAGAAATAGTCCAGCGCGCAAAGCAAGCCTTCGAGGAAGGTGTCGTCGAGTTGTGGCTGACTTCCGAAGACACTGGGGCCTACGGCAGAGACATTGGCACCAATTTGCCGGAGTTGCTGTGGAAGATCATAGAAATAATTCCCGAGAACTGTATGATGCGCGTTGGTATGACCAACCCGCCGTATATTCTCGAGCACCTGGAACAAATCAGCAAGATTTTGACCAACCCGAGGGTCTATAGTTTCCTTCACGTTCCTGTCCAGTCTGGTAGTGACCAGGTGCTCGTGGACATGAAGAGAGAGTACTCCAGGGCGGAGTTCCAGCAGGTCGTTGACTTTTTGAAGGAAAAAGTCCCGGGAGTCACTATTGTCACGGACATTATCTGCGGGTTCCCGACAGAAACTGACCAGGACTTTGAAGAAACAATGAGTCTTTGTCGGGAAAATAAATTTCCTAGCCTATTCATCAACCAGTTCTTCCCCCGACCGGGAACTCCTGCTGCTAAAATGCCCAAAGTTCCGACTCAGCTGGTAAAGAAGAGGACCAAGCAACTCTCGGAGTTCTTCCAGTCCTACGAACCCTACGGCCATAAAGTCGGAGAAATTCAGAGGGTACTAGTTACGGAAATTTCGCACGACAAAAAACACTTTGTGGGGCATAATAAATTTTATGAACAAGTTCTGCTGCCCATGAAAGATGAGATCATGGGAAAAATGGTCACTGTGCAAATTCTTGAAGCTACTAAGCACTCTATGAAGGCAAAACTTGTTGATGAATTAAGTCAATTTAGTAATTGTGGAGAAAAAAAATTTGGGGATTTAGCGACAGATATTTATCCGTCAATCTATCGCAATTGTGCGATAATTGTTATTTTATTTGCGGTGCTAGCAAGGGTCTTGTGGAGATTTTTCATTATTTGAGAGTGATTTTTAGATTTAATTGTTTTATTTTTAATGAACATTTTTCAATAAAACTTTTAAAATATTGAAATGTAATATACTTAATTTTTTTTTTTCAAAAATAAAAAATTTAAAATTTAATATCGACGTTCTAATCAGCAAATTGTCTAAATCAATTTTAGAGAATCTTCCATTTGTATGAAAAAACAATTAGTTCAAAATTTATTATCATTACACTGAGAAAAAAAATACTTTTATTAAGAAAATTTTCTTGATACAAGAATTTATATTCTTAAAAATTTTTAAGAATATATATTTTTAGCTCAAAAAACTGTTAAATTGATTGCAATAATTTTTTCTTAATTTAAATCAATTACCCAAAGATAAATATTGATGTTCTTCTCTTCAGAAATTAATAATTAATAATAATAGAATAATTGTAAATTGAGTAAAAGTATTTTTTTTTTAATTAATAAATATAATTTTTGAATTATAAATTTTAAGATTAATTTTTTGGAAGCATTTTATTTTTCTAATTAGACTAAAATTACAAGTGTCAAACAACTAGGCCAGTATCAATAACTGGGTCTTTTTCCTTAGAGGTATAATGTTTTGGTTTAGATTATTCAAATAATTTACAATTGGACTATTACTGCATCAAAATTTTAAAAAATCACCCTCTAAAAAATAAGGAGAGACCAATTGCTAATTAGATCATGGATATTTTGAAAGGAGGTGATAAAAAATTAAAACTCATTTTTAAATATTTTTTTTTTTTTTTATTGAAAATTACAGAAACCATCAAATTTTTTAATTGCGGTTTATAAATCAATACGGAACTGAAGAAATATAAAACTTTCATAAGACAAATTATTAAACATTTGGCATTATTATTTATAAGTTGTAATTTTAATTTATCTAATACAATAATTATTCGTTTGAGGTTCCTGTCTTTCAACAAATCCCAACTATGTTTCAATTTCTACAAAAAAATACTAAATCTTTAGTAAAAAAAAATTTAAAAATAGAGAGCAATGTTTAATGTCTTTTTTTCACCTTAAAATTATCTTTAACAATTGAGCAATTATAAAATTGACTGAGCATTTAAATTCATTTTTTCACAATATATTACTTTTTTTTTTAAATATTTATCGGGAAAATATATTCTTTAGTCAGCATTTAAAAATATTTTTTTTTTCTTTTATATTGAAACAATAGTTTGTAGGCACTTTTAATTTAAAATTAACTTTTTACATTAATTTAATATTTATCCAATAATAATAATAATAATTTCACATAAATACTTGTTTCTTTACTTAAAATCTACTTATAAAATTTACATTAATTAATTTACCGAAATTTATGTACATTTACACTTAATTAAAATAATTATTAAATAAAATCACTAATTATAAAATTACAGAGAAAATCACTTATAATTAAATTAATAATTTTTATCGTGCGCTTAAACATTTTCTTTTGAGAAAATTGAGTAGTATCCGACGCACAGTTTGAGCACCTTTTTTTTTATCCAACACAAAGAAATTCGGAATGATTTGGTAATTTAAAATAAATCATTGTATTTATCACTATCAGCCCTACACAAATTTTAAATCAATTTTTTTTTAATTAAAAAACTCCATCTTTAATTTTAATTGTAAGTGAAAAATACTTATTATATTTATATTTTGATTACGCAAGCTCTAGATTTGATTTCAGTGTACGTAGAAAAATAATAAACAATAAATTATTTTTCGAGATGAAGACTGAGCCCCATATAAAAATTCCCGAGAAATACCGAGGCATTATTTTCTCCAGCGGTCCCTTACTTTTAACTTTAGGTGACTTTTTTTTGCTCTTGGCCATTGTTTCGGCTTAAAACTCCAAGCCGTGTAGGGTAAGAGCAACGCTCGAGCTCGATATAATGCGAACGAAATAAATAAAATAAAAAGTACACCGATCAGGAGGTAAAACCTTCTGGAGAATAAGAAACAACGCATTCACGTCTTCAGAGAATGTAAATCGATTATTTTGGTCCCCTTTATTCCCATTATTTTTATCTACATCGTGGATCCAATTTTAAAGTTATCCAAAGGACGATAAATATTTTGCCATGCTTACTTTGTTTTAAAAACAGTCTTCGGTGGTCAATTTTTCAGTGAAAAGTTTTGCAAAAATTAACTATTCTAATTCTAGAAAATTATAAATTTTTATTTATAATTCTAAAATTCATTTTTTTTTTTTTTTATTAATTAAAACTTTCAATTTAAATTCATCTCATTCCATAAAATAAAATTTTTTTATAATTTTTGTGTTAAATATTTAACACTTTTATGTGTAAATTTAACATTTATTCTTTTAAATAACACAAAAAAAATATTAAATATTTAAAATAAAAATTTTTAACATCAAATCTTTTACTGTGAATAAGAAAATTTTGAATTTAAAAATTTTCCCGCCAATTTTTGAAAAGCCGGATTATTTGAAAGCGCGCCTTGAAACTTTAAAATGGCGCATCGGCCATTTTGTCGAGAATAAAAATTTTGATACTTATCATAAAAAATCACATTTAATTAATAAAAACTTAAAAATTTAAATATATATTAGCTTTTTTTGCTTATAAATCAATAATTTAAACTGACATTTAAATAAAAAATAAAAATTTGAAGAATTAGACATAAATTTTCGCAAAACTTTTCCTCACAGAAACAGAAACATAAAAGAATAAATAATATGGCGAAAAAAATGGCACAGGATTTAAAAAAGTGAGGTCACAAATTCGACAAATGTTTACAACAAGTATCTTAACTAATAAATAATCTTAATAAATTTTCCTTCATAAATAAAATACATAAGTATTGAACTCAAAAGACTAGTGACCGAAGGAAAATTTAATAATAATAACAATAATAATAATAATAATAATAATAATAATAATAATAATAAAAAATGGCCGCAATATACAAGTTAAATATCAGCAGCGAGCCAGTAGAATGAATAAACTCAATTATTGGCAATCTGCTGGTGGGGTAATTGCTGGTTGCCGAAATTACTAAGGGGCGAGCAAAAACTCGTCTGGCCAGACCGAAGAGTAGAGACTGGCATCTAAATTCAGATGCACGGAGTAGAGAGCAGCATCCGTTACTCCAAAAAAAAAAAAAAAAAGAAAAAAAAAAAAGAAACTTTAAACCTTTAACGCAAAAAGCCGTTTTTAAAATTGTAACGCTGCTGATATTCATTTATCGGATCGACAACTTATAAATAAAACTAGAGACGTCTGAGATTCCGCTTGCTTTGCTTGGAGCCGACGATTAGTGGAGCTTTTTTCCTCTTGGTTGGCGTCGCCAACAGCGGGGTTTTGCAGGGTCCTGAGTGCGGCGTCGAGACGCAATCCGGGCAAAATTCGGCCCTGCATCCTTCTCGTGTACACACGCCGACATTCCTTGCAGCGTCGACGTGACTCGCAAAGGAACATTTGGGGCAGCGACAGAGACGCTCCGTTGGTGCCAGAGCTCGGGAAGCCTGTAACAAAATAATAACACTGTAAGTACAAGTTTAAATATCAAATATAATATTTATTTATTTATTATAGATTCATAAATATAAATAGAAGTGAGGAAGAAATTTTACGGCGTCATAACAGAGGTTTTATGAACCCTCTCGCGGATAATTATTCATAAATTTCGAGATACTTTCATTGTTAATAATATTATTTTTGTTTAAAGACTCTTAAGTGGTCTTTTATTATTTGGGTATGAATTGAGATTTTTATGTTCAATAATTAATGTTAAATTTATATTTATATATATTTGTTTGGATGTTTGCAGGTATGTATTTATGTATTTATGTATGGATGTGGAGGGGTATATTGTATATGTAGTCAGAGCAAGAGTTAAAGATTAAGGAGAAATTCTTTATGAGACATGAAAGTACATAATATTTACATTGGTCACACGAGATATATTTATGATCTTTGATGGTCATTTTTAAATCATCACTGTTTCAATTCAATGATATTTATATTTTATTTATTTATTTTTTTTTAGTTATATATAATAAGTTATAAGATATCTATTTGGTAGTTTTCTTTTTATTTAGTTTAAATAAAAACAAATTGAAAGATTAACGAAGAAGTATTTAAAGACATTATTAGATAGTATTTTAAAGAGTGATAAATTTATTATTATCTTTTTGACATAGATAATAATTGCTTTTATTATTTTTTAGGAAATTTTTGTTTATAAAGTAAAGTAAAAAAAATTAAGAAGAAAAATTTTTAAAAAGTTATTTAAGAGCTTAAAAAAAATGTTAAATATTATTTTAAAAAATTATTAATTTATTATAACTACTATTATTATTATTATTATTATTATTATTATTTTAAGATATTTTTGTTTTTATCTGACTAGTTGGTTTATAATTTTTACTTTTTTGCAATTGTAAATTGATTATATTTTTACAATTTATTGGCGTGTTTAGCAACCCTGGTCTGGGCCGTCCGAATTATTTTTTCACTTAAAATTATCTCTAATGACAAATTCTACGAATAAAAAAATAATTGTTTATGCGCGGAAGGTTACCGGCAAAAAAATTATTATAAATATTAGTGCAATTTGCAAGTGATCTAGGCTAGACACGCCAATAAATTGTAAAAATATAGTCAATTTACAATTGCAAAAAAGTAAAAATTATTATTATTATTATTATTATAATCATCATCATCATCAACATCATTTTGATATAAATAATAAAAAAAATATTATTATTATTTCAAAAAAATCTAAATTATAAAACGAAAAAAATGTTTAAAAAAAATTGATTAGATGTTTTTAAAAAATTTTAAAGATTGATAAATTTATTATTATTATTATTAATTTTTATGGAGTAATAATAATAATAATAATTGCTTTAAATTTTTAAAGAAAATTTTAGTTTAAGTAAAAATAGATTAAAAATAATAAAAAAGATGTTTATAAAAAAATTACTAAACATTATTTTAAAAACTAATATTGATTATTATTATTAT